TTTTATTATAATAACCTTGATAGTTTCATTATAATAACCTTGATAGTTTTATTATAATAACCTTGATAGTTTCATTATTATAACCTTGATAGTTTTATTATAATAATCTTGATAGTTTCATATAATAACCTTAATAGTTCCATTATTTTAACCTTGAAAGTTAAAAAAAAAATATAAATGGGATTTTAAAGTGACAGTTAACGTAATTGTGAGCGACCCTATATAAAGTGATGCATGTTTCGCTTTTTGAAATTTGATCATTTTCAATCGTGGTTCATCTATGAAAGTGACCTGCGAATTTCTGCTTGCGAAAACATTGGTAAAAATTGTCATCCGAATTAGATTCTTCTGAAACTACTTATACAACATGCAATTTTCATGAATTTATTAATTGCACTCTCGACGTAGGTTCGGTGACCCACCATACTTTGGTGCAAAAATCTTTGTTTTACAAAAATGTAATAAAAAATAGAAATATTCGGATCGAAAACAAAGATATCACTTTAAAAATCATACATCACAGTTCAGATATGGATTCAATAAACCATTTCCCAAAAAATAACATTTTTCGTGAAAAAAAGAAAACCCTAAAGTGTTCAGATTCTGCCCACAACTCAATTCAAGTCAATTAGATGTTTGATAGAGCCATAAATTCATCTAACAGAACTTTTAATATATATAAATATCAAGATTATATTTATCAACAATATACTTCACTTTTAATATATGTAAATATCAAGAATATATTTATTACTTTTAATATATTTATCAAGAATATATCTTATACAGATTTTTCAACTCCTAAAATTGTTCTTAATTTTTGAAATTTTTAGTTCAATATTCGAACAAAGTTTAAGAGTTTATTTTCTAACAATTTAGAGGGTATGAGAGGATAGAAGCTGATATGATCTGAATTGGTTTTTTTTCTTAATTTTTAAAGAAAATTTTATGCTGTTAAATTTAAAATTTGATATTCATTGTTTTTGTTCATTGTTTTTGTAAACTTCAAATTATTTTAATATCCTTAGGTAATCTCTGACTACCATTTCAAATTCATGTTTACGCACAATCATCAAGAAATTGCGCAGACAAATGTTTAAGGAGCTGATTACTCGACCCAAACTCTATTTTTCTATTCCTTGAATATCTCCAACTTATTTTAATCTATTAATTTCTGCAAGATTTGATCTCCAAATTGCAAAGATATAGGGATTAGAAAAGAAAGGTTTGAGGTAAGTGATCAGTTTGTCACAAAATTGGGTGAGAAAAGTCTGCGAAAATTGTGTTTAAAAAAGAAATTAAAAAGCATTAAACTGAATTTTTTATAATGTTACTCCTCTAAAAAGTAATGGATCACTTAAAAGTAATGTAAAAATTATACTCTCATAAAAGTTGATTTAAAAAAAGAATAAAAATTTAGATACTTACTTAAAGCTAAGTACATTGTGTATGTGTACATCCCAACTGAAAAAAATATTTTATCCTTGAAATATTCTGTAAAAAAACATTTAATGAAAATAATCTGAACCAAAAACTACTTAAGCCCATTTAAAATTAACGGGCTCTGATAAAAGTAGCGAGGTGCATTAAATATATTTTTAATCCGTTCGTTATCGATAAGCTACCGACAAAAATGCGTTTTTGTTTAAAGGGAGTGTTCGCGAAAAATGAAAGGGGGTATAAGCTTAATGCGATAAAAAAGCGCTTTTGATCGTTTCTAATCTTACTTCTATCTGTTGCGTCTATAAGGAGAAAATTGATAAAAACGACTAATACCGAAGAACGTAGTATCCATACAAATTCAGAAAGATGCAAGATACGACTTAGACTGTAAAAAAATCTGTTTAATTTTAAACAAATCATTCAGATACTACACCCTATGGTCATCGATTATCTTTAGCCACATTTGTATATAGTTGATTTTTCATAATATGTTTTAATTGTTATGATCTGAGAGTTACTTATAAAAACATTTATTCCTGTTTCGAGGATTTTTGGTAATGAAGACGAAATTTTCATATTTTCCAGGAATGTTCGAAAACAAGTTGGAAGCTAAATGTTATTTTAAAAAATAAAATCAAGTAACTCTCAGATCATAACAATTAAAACATATTATGAAAAATCAACTATATCCAAATGTGGCGAAAGATAATCGATGACCATAGGGTGTAATATCTTTGGATAATGAGATGGATAGAAAGATAGATGTTACCACCATACTATTTCTATTGGTTAAGAATAGACAACAAACACATGACTGAACCCTGATTGGATCAGGCACTAATGGACTCGGCATACAGGAGTGACCTGTAACTCAGAGGAATACACTTTTGTTTTTTGTTGAAATAAGTTTAAAATTTCAATGATAAATTCCTTTCCTATTCCAACTGGCAGTGCTATCATATTATGCAGATTATCCAAACTAAACAATTTCAGAATTTTTATTTTACCAATTTTTTAAAATTTTTAGTTTAATAAGTTTTATAATTTTTTTTGTGCTTTGTTTTTAAATTTTTCTGAAATTTTTCCTGAAGAATGGAGGAGCAGAGTAGTTTCCTTGACTATGCTTGACGATCTCGACGATCAATATGATCAGTTTGATGATCATGATTAAGGTTGGAACATGTCGAACTACCTGCAGGTTTCTAAATAAGATAAATATTATGATGATTCATGATCTTGATTTTTATCCTGTTTAATTAAGATTAATTAATCAGGATTAGGATTAGGATTAGGATCAAGGCTCAGAATGAGGATCAGAATCAGGATCAGGATAAAGGATTAGAATCAGAATCAGGATCAGGATCCAGATCAGGATCAGGATCAGGATAAAGGATTAGAATCAGAATCAGGATCAGGATCCAGATCAGGATCAGGATAAAGGATTAGAATCAGAATCAGGATCAGGATC